GAATGATAAAGTGGTAGCTTATGTGTCGAGGAAATTGAGGATTCATGAAATGAATTATCCTACTCGTGATCTAGAACTAGCTGCAGTGGTGTTTGTGCTAAAGATTTGGAGACATTACCTTTATGGCTCCAGATTTGAAGTGTTTAGTGATCATAAGAGTTTGAGATATATATTTGACCAGAAGGAATTAAATATGTGGCAACGAAGATGACTAGAACTGTTAAAGGACTATGACTTTAGCCTAAATTACCAATCGGGTAAAGCTAATGTTATGGCAGATGCTTTAAGTAGGAAATCGTTACATATGTATGCTATGATGGTTAGAGAATTATAATTGATCGAACAATTCAGAGACATGAGTTTAGTCAGTGAGTTGACACCATATAGTATGATGTAAGGAATGTTGAAGATTAACAGTGATTTCTTGAATAACATTAAAGAGGCTCATAAGTTAGATGTAAAATTGGTAGATTTAATGGTTGGAATTAATCAAGATAAGGATAGCGATTTTAAAGTGTACGTGCAAGGTTTGTTGAGATTCTATAATAGAATTTGTATTCTCGATGACTCCTAGCTGAAAAAGATGATTCTGGAGGAAAGTCATAGAAGCAATTTGAGTATTCATCCAGGTGTAACTAAGATGTATCGAGACTTGAAGAAGTTATTTTGGTGGTCCAGATTGAAAGGGGATATAGCACGGTTTGTGTATTGCTTGTTTGACCTATCAGAAATTAAAAGTCGGACATCAGAAACCCACAAGATTGTTGAAACCATTAGATGTTCCAGAATTGAAGTGGGATAACATATCTATGGATTTTGTGATGGGTTTTCTGACTACTTCAAGAGGGTATCATATGATCTAGGTGATAGTTGATAGGCTGACAAAATTAGCTCATTTCATTTTGATTAATATCAGTTTTCTGGTACCAAAGTTGGCAGAGATCTATATCTGTGTGATTGTGAAGCTTCATGGTATTCCATCGTTTATCGTTTCTGATAGAGACCCGAGGCTAACTTATGGATTTTAGGAGATTTTGAAGGATGCGTTAGGCTCTAAACTGATATTGAGTTCGTCATTTCATCCACAAACAAATGGATAGACGGAGAGAACTATTCAGTCGTTGGAAGATTTGTTGAGAGCTTGTGTGCTAGAAAAAGGAGGTGCGTGGGATAGTTATATTTCATTGATAGAGTTTACTTATAACAATAGTTTCTATTCTAGCATTGGAATGACACCTTTTGAGGCATTGTATAGTCGAAGGTGTAGGACTTTGTTGTATTGGCATAAATCTGGTGAGAGTGTGGTACTTAGGCCTGAAATTGTCCAACAGACTATAGAGAAAGTGAAGTTAATTTGGGAAAAGATGAAAACTCCACAGAGTAGGCAGAAGAGTTACCATGACAAGAGGAGGAAGGATCTCGAGTTTCAAGAAGGATACCACGTATTCTTGAGAGTGACACCGGTGACCGGTGTTGGACATGCATTGAAATCAAAGAGGCTTACTCCTCGGTTTATTGGTTTGTATCAGATTTCAGACAAAGTGGGAATAATTACTTATAAGGTGGCCTTGCCACCTAACCTTTCAAATTTTCATGATGTGTTCCATGTTTCATAACTTCGAAAGTATATTTCTGATCCGTCTCATGTGATTCTGATGGATGATGAGCAAGTGCGGGATAATTTGACTGTTGAGACCGTACTGGTGAGGATCGAGGATAATGAAATAAAGAAGCTGAGGGGCAAGGAAATTTCTCTCGTGAAATTGGTTTATGGAGGAGTTGTCGAAGATAACGCGACTTGGGAATTAGAGAGCAATATGCAAGACTCTTATCAGGAATTGTTCGTGTCAGGTAATTTTTGAGGACGAAAATCTTTTAAGTGGAGGAGAGTTGTAACACCCCCGAATTGTCAATTTTTTTAATTAATTGATAATGTGATGTGGTGTTTTTTTGTGTTTTTTATTGATGTTGAGATATGTTGTGTACTTTGACGAGAGGTAATTATTTTAGGAATTATGGAAGTTAAGGCATTAGGGGCATATGACCGAAAGCGTAGAGGTATACGGGTGTAGTAGAAGACTAGTATTTATTTTATTATTATTAATAGAATAGTAGAATAATTATTATGTCTCTATTAAGTAAATAATTATTTAATTAGATGGGTGTAAAATTGGGATTAAGAATTAAGGATCTAGAGGTTAATATTGAGAAAACAAGAAAGTGAGAAGATAGAACGAGAAACAGAACTTGAAAAGGAGAACGGAAAGAGAGGAGAGAGAAGAGTGCACCAAGAGGCTAGGGCAACAGAATTCATTGTAGAAGTTGAGAATCATCAATCTAAAGTAAGCGTGGGGTTCTAACTCTATAACGGATTGCATAAGGATGGATTATGGTAGTGATTAAGTTATCATAGTTGTGTGTTTGTGTGTTCTACAAATTTTGTTTTGTGTGATTGAATGTTTGATGAATTGTTGGTATGTATGCATTTGAATTGGCAAAATTGATGCTATAGAGTGACTAGAAATGTTGGATAATATGTATGTTAAAATTGTGGAACTTAGAAACATGTTTTTGGTTGAAATTGGGATTTTGGGATTGAAAGGAATGAATTTTCGAAATCTGGAAAAAATAAGAAGAAGCATATTTTGGCTCTGGTTCAGGTGTAACCGGTTACCAGTATGAGGGTAACCAGTTACCGTGTGAAAAATGGTGTATTTGGCAATTTTTGATGGGTGTAACTGGTTATCAGTATGAGGATAACTGGATACTAGATGAAAGGCTGAGGCGTGTATTTTGGTTACAGGTGGTTTAAACGGTTACCCGTCTGGAGGTAACCGGTTACCACTGTACTAAACAGATTTTTTTTAAACTTCGAAAATCTATAACTTTTGACTCGGGTGTCCGTTTGACGCACCGTTTAGATCGATGGAAAGCTAAAAATATTTTCTATCTTATAAAAATATTTTTTTTTACAATAGATGATTATTTGTTGGGGGATTATCCTTCTTTTGTATATTTCGTATGATGGGTGAAGATGAATGTTCTACTTCAGTATGGTGATGACATACGAAGTTAATTTGCATAGTATGTTGCATGTATGATCATGATGATGATGGCCTATATTAGTATATTGCATTGGTGGATAGTAATATCAATGCATAATACATTGTTGTATGTCAGTGTTACATGCATTCATGGTGAGGGCTTTTATTCTATTGATCGCCTGCATTAGTGTTATGATGAGGGCTTATGCCATATTGCTATCCTATTCGGCATAATGATGAGGGCTTATGCCATGTTGGTACCACATGCATCGAGTTTGATAGTCAGTCTTGTTGCATTGCATTATTATTATGTTGTTGAAATGTGTAGAGGATGTGTATGTTATACTGTAATAGATGGTATGTGTTGTTGGATCGTCGGACTATATATTTGACTTGCCATAGGATTATCGTAAAATGAGGTGAAAGTGTGATATGAAGAATGTATGACTATGCGTAATAAATTGTTATATGATTATTATTATGCTTTCTTTTATATTGTTATGATATCTCACCCCTTCTGTTTGAGTGTTACTTCTACGTGGGTAACGTGTATGTGATTCGCAATAAAGGAAGTTACTTGTCGTTTATTTCGAGTCGGCGTCATGCTCTGATACGTAACACTAGGGTGGATGAACGCTGTCTTTATTTTTTTTATGTTTATTAATTGTCAGACTCTTAAGAACTCCTTGATATATGAGGAAACATTGATTTGTTTTCGGATGAGTTTATTTATATTCTAAATTATGAACCCTTTTCGTTGCTTAATAAAGATTAAAGTTGAATACTATGTTGTGTTGTGTTGGTTCATCTATGATGGTGTTATGTATCTTTTTTATATTACGGGCAGCCGTACATGATTTTGAAGAATGTAGCATTCTGATTATGGTTGATGTTTTAAAATTACTCTGATTTAATTATAATTATGCGGAGTTAAATTTGGGTGTTATAAATTAGACAACTACAACTTTAGCTAATTATATAATGACCATAACACATGTAATATTATAATTGTGACCCAAATATTCTACCATTCATTTTATTTATAATAGAATTAAAAAGACTTTTTTTTTAAAAAAAATATCATGAAATTTATTCTGAGGTTAAAAAAATATCTACATATCACATTATAATAAATATTTGTTCTTAATATCTTACATTGGAGGTACAATCAAGTATAATTGAAAATATTTTGCATTCATTACTTTTTCTATAATTTTTTATAAATTATTAGTGGAATATATATGTTCGATCAAATTATATAATTTCAAGATCTTTTATATAAATCTATAATATAAGAAAATTCATTCTATCCATTCTGACAATTTTGTCCTTTTATTCCAAAGACACTCCACGTTGCTATCTTCGTTGGTCTCTATTTCACATTTTTCATATTCTTTTAAACACTTCCACGATGGAGAAAACGTGGGCTTCCTTTCCTATTCACCAAGAAAACAATTGTTTCTTTCCTTTGTCGTTTCACACTTCAACCTTGAATCTGTAGCAATTAATTTTCTCCATTTTCCAAATGATTCTGCCTCCCAACTTCTTCTCTCATCCTCTATTCTTCTTCCGGCTCCCAACTTCTTCTGTCATCCTCTCTCCTTCATCTCTGGTCGTGTATATGTTTGATTTTCTTCAAATATGAATGGAATATAAGAGCGTATATAAGATTTGATTACCCTTGTGTCTAAATATTGGTAATCCCATTTTTATATTTGAATCCTAATTGATTTTTTATTCTAATTGTTTATGTTTGTGGTTATGTTTGATTGTGTTTGCCTATGATTTTTTATGTATGGCAGATTATTTTAGGGTTCTCATTATTGTTGAACTGGGCATGAGAATCATAAGTGCTTCTCTGTATTTCTATTTTAATTCCAATCTATAACGTGTTTTTACTAACATTGTTTCCTTTGCTTCAGCATGAAAATTATGCTTGGACCGGTCTAATAAAAGATGAAAGAGTTTTTTTATCTCCGAGGGTTTCTCCACCGCCAACGGTGTTCAGAGAATCGGCGATGGTGGAGGAGTTGGGAGCATAGACGTGAGTGCCTTTACAACCATCTATGATTCTTATGAAAACCCTAATCCATTTCGTTTTTTCCTAATGGTCCGGGTTGCTTTGGTTGTGTTAGGTTTTTTTAGAAATTCACTATGTAGAATTAACAATTGATATTTGATTTTCTATTGAATAGTATTATTGATGTATGATATTGTTACTTTTCTGCTATACTATTGATGTGACATCTAAAAGATCATTTGGGTTTGAGATTAAGGGTTGATTGTATTAAATTATTTGAGTTATCTACTAACATAGAGCAAATGAAAGAACTTATTTTTGTGAAAGCTAAATGTGATTGTCATTGTTAATATGTTTTCCTTGCAGAGGCTGCCACGGTGTCTCTAAACAGATAAATTTTGGATATACCATTTCAATCTTTGCAACTAAATCTTTGAAAAATGAGGTTGAATCTTAGGGAAGTTCAAGTTTGGAATTGGAAACTGCAATCAATATTGGGTATGTTGCTGCAAATTATTCAACTTCATAATACTATATGCATTTTCAATTTTAAATTTTAAGTTACTAAATTTAAATGAGTTTGATAATTGTTTGTTTTTACGGTGCAAATATTCATGTAGAGTTTGCTTCAAGGGTATGAAGCAAATATGTATCTCTACTACAAATTCAGATTCAGTAATCAATGATGGGAAAGAGGTATTCATTTTACTAATATTGAGTAGACATTTTACTATTTAGAAATGAATTTATCTGATGTTAGGCATACCTCTCAAGTAATCAAAGGCAACATGCTGACTCAAATCACTAATGTCTCACAATTGATGAAGTTGGAGAATAGAAACACCCCCAACAATTTTTCATTTATAGAATAAGTTCAATTTGAATTGATATCTCAAGCTATGGCTTATATTTTTTTTTGTTATATAATTTCATGTGATAATGATATTTTTGTTAAAAGGCCATCAATACTTTGAGAATGTTTCACAAAATTGTGTAGCCATTTGGAAGTCTCCTGAAATTTATACCGACAAAGAAGGTAAAGCAATCAATGAGTTTGTTTTTGTTTAGGGCAACCCCTGCCCTTTTCCAGGATATAGATTCTTTTAATGAGTTGAAATAACTTAAATTATAAATGGCCTAAATGATTGAACTTGGAAACTGAATTTCAAAATATATTTTTATTCCTATTATATTTTCCTAATGAATTTATTTGCATACCAGAGATATGCAGGAGCTCATTTCTGAGAAGATAAAGAAAAATGAAAGTAACTTCTGCTCAGATCTATTCAACGATATGTAGTTTATTTCACTTGCTATCTCATATGCATATTTTCCTCTACAAGTCAATATTGATAAGTGAAGAACTCTGGTGATGAGAGATATTATTCACAGTTTATTATCGTATTACGATTGCATACTCGATTTAAGCCACCTTCTGAGTCTGCATAAAATGATGATTAAACATACTTTCGTCATTGTTCTCTAATTTGCATGGATTTTTATTTTTAAGAATTAACATCGATTTGAATTTTTGTAGGATATGTATGATATACTCTTTACTTCATTGTGGATTTGCATTAACAGAATGATATAGTTTAAAGAGAACTCTCACAAGGTGGCGCGTTTATAATTGTATGCATTTCTAATTTTAAGTTCTAATTCATTTTCTTTTCTATTGCGGTTAACTAACTCTACATCCTTTATGATTTTAATTTTCATTCATAGTTCTAATACTTATGTGTTACGAAAGTATGCCACACACCTATTTTCTTTTCCTTTGCATGTTCTGTATTCATCTCATAAGTAGATTTTAGGTCATGAGTTAAATATTTTATTAAACTAGAATGGTGATGTTATAGATTGAGGAGGTGTTAAGGATAGATGAAGTATTAACATTTTGTTGAATAAAAGAATAGAATTTATAGGTTACATACACACTCACATGTAGCAGGAAAATGTTCAGTATTTTGTTGCTCCTTATGAGTTTCGTCTATGCACATCTCTGTTCATGCTTCGCATTTGTATATATGTACATTAGTAAGTCATAATAATATTTATGAACAGCAAGAGTCACTTGCATATTCTGGTATAGATTTAACGAGTAGCTGAAATCATGGGCATTAACATTCATGAGACTGTTCAACACATATATTTGGAGTGATTTTCTGATTAAGCAAATCCTGCGCCAGAAAGTATGCAAAATGAATCCTATAATACAGAACTAAGGCGTGAACAAATAGTATAATACTTTAACAGAATAATCAAGTTTAAACTTCATATTTTGAAAATCTAAAAGCCAAATCACATAATAAGTTCAAAAGATATTAAAATTATATTACTATTTTTATGCCCTCTATCTCATAGTTATTACCTCTTATCATTTTTACTTATCCAGGGTTGTGACTGAAGAACCAATCACAGGCAAGTTCAAGATAATGCTCAAACTAAGATCCACTACTATATAAAATACTTATGCCGTAGTGAAAAATGGTGTGTCTAATTCATTGATGGTGTAAAAGTTGTACTTAGTCACCGAAGCCAAATAGCTATAAGTTGATTTGGTTTGTATATGCTGAAAGAATAAGTCCTCCACACATTATTCTTCATATAAGCCTTAGATCATTCTTTGTAGTTCTAACTGTAATAATAGTTGTTAGCTTGATCATGTCAACTCTCTTATCTATAAATTATAATGTTACTATAATTTTATTTATAAATTATAAATAGTTTTAAAATATTTATTTTACTTCAAAAAATTTTAAGCCGTGCACAAGTATACATTTAAGTCATTATTCTCCTCTGTGCTTCTAAAATATTATTGATTTTGTTTGTAAAATATTCTTTTAAGTTATTTTATTTAAGTTATTTTATTTAAGTCATTATTATATATGATTTTATAATCAAATATTTGAGAATAAGTTGAATTTTATAAGTAATAAATTTTAGAAGTAATGATAGAAAAGAAAGATTTGTTTTGATTGTATGAAATTTTTTCAATTGATATCGTTTGAAAAATTGAGAATATGTTTAATGTTTAAAAGTAATAAGAATTAAAATAATTGTTACTGATATATCAATTATGTTAAATTTTAGTCTCATTCCATATCCATACACCTATGTACACCTATGTACTGCAGCAGTTAGGAAAGTTTTCTTATGAACAGCATTGCCATTGTCCTCCTGGCTATTTATTTTACATGTTCCTTTTCAACATTTCTTAGATGAACAAAAAGACATATATGAAAAAATAATGGGGGCTGTCCAGTCACAGAATGGTGGTGTCTTCTTCCTTCATGGTTACGGCGGTACTGGTAAGACCTCTATATGGAGAACACTGGCGGCATCTTTGAGGTCCAAACATGAGATATATTTAACCGTTGCCACCAATGTTATAGCTTCTTTGTTATTGCCAGAGAGTAGAAATGAACATTCCAAGTTTAAGATACCTGTACCGACGCTTGATAACTCTACTTGCAACATTAAATACAACGATGATGTTAGAGACCTTCTAAGACAAACAAAGCTAATTATATCGGATGAAGCACCGATGGCACATAAGTATGTTATAGAAGCACTTGACAAAACATTGAAATATGTCATGAGTGTGTGCAATAATTCGAAGGATGTGTTTGGTGGAAAGGTTGTAGTTTTCGGAGGATGTCATGAGTGTGTGCAATAATCCCTAGGATGGATATGTCACCGTCGCAATCACCACGGCCATTCAAGTTAAATAGACGATAATTCCCAATTATTGTCTCGTATGCCATGGGGATTAACAAATCACAGGGACAATATTTGGATATTGTAGGTCTATACTTGCTAAGAGATGTATTTACCCATGGTCAAATTTATGTTGCACTATCGAGGGTCACAATAAAACAAAGAATCAAAATATTGATACATGATGAACATGAAAAGTTCAAAGTAACAACTAAAAATGTTGTTTACAAGGAAGTTTTCAGAAATATATGATTATTCAAATATTATGTACGCTCTTTTATTAATCTGCTTCATTTTCTTCTTGCTTCAAAATGTGTAGTACATGAGTTTGTAACATCACTTTTTGGTATATTCTGAATTTAATGTTAATCCTTTTCTGTCTGAAAAATATATGTTGTTCCTTTTATGTTTCTAAGCACACACCAGTTATAGTTGATTCTTATGGCATTTTATTTCAGATTGTTAATCATAACTTTTTGTTTTCTATGCATTTCTATATCAACATGGGATACCCGTCTCCATTGGAAAATTATAATTGACACAAAGCACATGAAAATATGGTTGCTGCATTTTGAGATTGCTGCACATCAATCAGCATGTTAGGCATATTAGGGAAGCAGGTTAGTTATATTAGAAAATCCATTAACTGTTAATTGCTCTATTAAATTGCAGTTAGAATAGATGGAGGTTAAGTGAATCGGTTAGTTTGTTTAGCTAATTTCGGTTAGTGACTGTTAGTTGCATGAGATGCTTGGTTAATAGTTAGTATGGGATGTTAAGAAAATGGAATGTGCAGTTGTTAATGTAAGTTGAAGCAGTCTAATTCGGATTTCAAAACTGATATTTTTGCTTGAAATTGATTTGTGATCTGCATTGTAGACAGACTGTCATGGCTTTTTTTTGTGAACCAGACTTCGATCTTTGAATTTGTAGCATTTGACATGTTTGAATGAGATTACATTGCATACTGGATATGAACTATTTATCCTTACTATATGTGTGTGTGTGTGTGTGTGTGTGTGTGTGTGTGTGTGTGTGTGTGTGTGTGTGTGTGTGTGTGTGTGTGTGTGTGTGTGTGTGTGTGTGTGTGTGTGTGTGTGTGTGTGTGTGTGTGTGTGTGTGTGTGTGTGTGTGTGTGTGTGTGTGTGTGTGTGTGTGTGTGTGTGTGTGTGTGTGTGTGTGTGTGTGTGTGTGTGTGTGTGTGTGTGTGTGTGTGTGTGTGTGTGTGTGTGTGTGTGTGTGTGTGTGTGTGTGTGTGTGTGTGTGTGTGTGTGTGTGTGTGTGTGTGTGTGTGTGTGTGTGTGTGTGTGTGTGTGTGTGTGTGTGTGTGTGTGTGTGTGTGTGTGTGTGTGTGTGTGTGTGTGTGTGTGTGTGTGTGTGTGTGTGTGTGTGTGTGTGTGTGTGTGTGTGTGTGTGTGTGTGTGTGTGTGTGTGTGTGTGTGTGTGTGTGTGTGTGTGTGTGTGTGTGTGTGTGTGTGTGTGTGTGTGTGTGTGTGTGTGTGTGTGTGTGTGTGTGTGTGTGTGTGTGTGTGTGTGTGTGTGTGTGTGTGTGTGTGTGTGTGTGTGTGTGTGTGTGTGTGTGTGTGTGTGTGTGTGTGTGTGTGTCAATATTGATGTTTGGGTTTTGGTTTAATGGGAAGATGGTATTACTGGTGCAGATATCACTCAATACATGCAGTTAAACTCATGTTTTTACTTTTAGTATTATAACATCAACTATCTAAATATTTTAGCATAGTATGTACACCATGCCAAAAACAGATTACCAAAATTTAACATTATCATAACACCCATTGTTTACTAAATACTTGACTAAAATATTTAACAGATGTTCAAACCTTACAAATTTAAAAACGCGGAGTCAACATATACAAAAACACAGACAACTAATCCTTTTTTCCCATTACATATCCAACACAATTTGTTTCATTGTCTATTCTTTCCCGACTCAACATAAAGCAGTATTTCATCGGCTGACGGATATCGAATGCAGAAATGCAGAATGTCTCCTTTCTTTAATTTTTCCTGTTTAGAAAATTCATACCAACCAATTATGAACTACGCTTTTCTTTCTACTGCTTCTTCGCGTTATGGGAAGCTGCAATTTGTAATTTTAACATAAGCGTTTTTCCTGTATATCTCAATGTGAACACATTTTAACCCTATTATCACTACAATGTCCCTTTTGTACTTCCATTTCCTGTTTGACAGCGGCCCAATGACCCATTTGACTTTCCATCTCTTTTTTGGCAAAAAAATATTCCCTAATAGATACAAATTATTTCTTTTTATATTACATGTTTATATTATTATATTTTTTAAACAGAATAAAGATTAAAGTTTTCTTATAATTTTGTACTTGTAAAAATATTAGTGGTCAAGATTTAAGCAATATTAAAACAAAAATTGAACCCACTTATACATATACTCATATTTTCACCCTTTGTACACAAAACACAACCGTCTTCAATCCTAACCCTCCTCATATAGTGTGTTATCTCCTCTTCGGATCCTCCAAACATGGCCGCCAAAGACTGCTCGAAGACCACAATAGCCTCAGACAAAAACACATCACGGTAAGTGAAAATGTTAGAACTATGATTATCACTAATTGCATGTCGTTTCAGTTGTTAAAATGATAACTTGTTTATATCTGCATGTGTGTTTAAGGATGGTTGTTTGTGGTCATTTATAATGTTGTTGATGGTTAAAGGGTTAGAAACTCATATATCATATTTTTTATGCTACAACGATGATGAAAAGGTTTTTGTACAATGATTATTTAGGGTTACCTTCCTTCGGATCAACCTGAAAACAAACACATAGCA